GGTATTTAAGAGTCTACCATCTGGCCCTTTGAGTTTTCATATTTTCTACTACTCCAATGCATATGTGCACACAATAAATTTGCTATGCTTTTCCCTTGTTAGCTTGTCTATTGTTATTGGTGTGTCAGCTATGACCCTTAATGATCACCCCTTTTCCACCCTTAAATTTCTAAGCAAGACATACAGTGATCATCATGGGATTTGCGTAGGCCCTTGCCTGTTGGGTTCCCTGCTTCCTGAATACCACATCTGATTCTTTGTCTGCTTACTCCCCCACATTCTGGAAGACCACATCTTTCCTAAGACAGGATGTATCAGAAGATAATTGTTCTTAGACTTTCCATCTTTGAAAATGTCTCTATTCCACCATAACATGCGATTGAAAGTTGGGCTGTGAAGGGAATTCTGGGTTGGAAACCATTTTCCCCAAAATATTGATAGTATTGTTCCACTGCATTGTCTCCTAGCTATTAATGCTGAGAAAGCTGTTATGTTTCTTGATCCTCTGTGATCTGTGTAGTTTTGTTTTGTTTTGTTTTTTCAAGATCTTATCTAAATTCTTTTTCATTGACTTTGTTGGCTATGTGTTCACAGCCCTTTCAAGCAGGAACTTTGTGTTCTTTACTCCTGGTGTTATTTTATTATTTCTTTAATAATTTTCCTCTCCACCATTTTTTTTTCTTTTTAGAATTCCAATTTTCCATATCAAGACTGAATCTCTAATTTTCTTGTGTTTTAGCCCCAATTTTTACCTATTATCTTTTTGATCTATTTTCTGGGCAGTATTCCTTGAGGTTCATCCATAGTTTATTAAATTTTTATTTCTATCATGTTTTTAATGTATAAAATCTCTTTCTATTCTCAGAAATTTCCATAGTTCATAACATCCTGATCTTCTTTCATGGTTATATGTAATTGAAACCTTCATAAAATTAATTAATAAAAGGCTGCAAGGTAGGAACTGTGGTAGGGACCTGAACTACACAAAAGTATAGCCATAGTTAAAAAAAAAATAACCAGCCATTGTTCCCTAGCTTGCTTTTCTATAACAGCTACTTAGGAGTCACGTAACTGATGGTTATAAAGATTAGCAGCTTTCTTAATTGCTCCATAGCATCACCCTTGTGAAACTTAGGCTGGTCTTTGAGATACCTTCCAGATCCTGCATTCCAGTATATCAACTGACCAAACCAGACCAGTGACCCCCACCCAGCAACTGACTCAGTGCAAGAAGACAATTTGTATACCCCTGTGATTTCATCCCTAACCCAACCAATCAGTAATACTGATTCCCTAGCCTACCAAACCATCCTTAAAAACCCTAGTCTCCAAATTCTCAGGGAGGTAGATTTGAGAAATTCCTCCCGTCTCCTCATTCGGAGCCCTGCAATATTAAACTCTTTCTCTGCTCCAATGCCTACTATCTCAGTGTATTGGCTCTCATACAACTCAACTGGGCCATGACATAATAGCTTCCTTTTTTGTTCTGAGGATACAAATTATAGTGTATTTAAAGTCTTTTCTTCCCTAGAATCTCTCTGACCTTCTGAGTTTGTACATTCATTTTATTCTCTGTTTCTCATAGTCTAAGGTTTTTTTAAATCTGTGCTATATTCTTTTGTCCATTCATAATTAAAATAGACAAGGAAATGATGATTGGAAACTTTGTGTACATGGGTGGGGCTTATTGACTGGTGGGCTTTGGGAATCCAGTAGGAACCCATGTGTTTGGTTGGAGGACCCTAAGTATAAGCCATTCTAATATTTTACAAGCAGATTTTAGGTTAATAAATATTACTAGAAATAAAAAGAGATATTTCATAATAATTAAAGACTTCACAGATAGATATAACAATTGTAAATGTGTACATATCTATTGATAACATAGCCTCAAAGTATGCAAGGCAAAAGTCAAAAAAATTAAAGGAGAGACATGTAAGTTTAAAATCATGTTGAAGATTTTAAAATACCTTGTTCAACTGATAGAACAAGTGGACAAAAATATTAGTAAAGACATAGCAAATTTTTATAATGCAATTAACGAACCTAACTTATATATGTGTGTGTGTGTGTGTGTGTGTGTGTGTGTGTGTGTGTATAGTTCACTGCACCTGAAAACTATCACATTTTTTCAAGTGCTTAGGGAACATTTACCAAAATAGACAGAGGTACTTTGCTAAACACCAATAACAAAATAATTATTAGAAAATTTACAAATACTTTAAACAATATACTACATTTAACTAATCCATGGATCAAAAACAAAATCACAATGTGAATTAGAAATTACTTTGGCCTGAATGTAACAAAATTCCTATTTCAACTGCATCCCTATCAAAACATGAGGGACACAATTAAAGTAGGAAATGTTTACAGAGAAATTTATACCTTTAAGTGCATATGTTAGGAAATCAGAAAGGTTCTAAAGCAATGATTTAAGCAGTCACCTTAAGAAACTGGAAAAAGAAGAGTAAATTTACCCAAAGAAATCAGCAGGAAGGAAATATTAATAATAAAGATAAGAAATGGATAAAATACAAAACAAGTATACTACAGAGAGAAACAAAAAACCAAAGCCAGAGCTGGTTCTCCAAAAAGACTAATAAAATTAATAACCCCCTAACAGTACTAATCAGTCAATAATCACCCCTTTGGAAGGCTCAAGCCTGTCTGTCAGAATATTTGGAAGCAGGATATGAAAGCCAGGAGGGCTGAGAGATGGTATCCTAATGCCCTAGAAGTAGAGGATAAAAAGGAGAGCTAGGAATGAGCTCATTACAGTTATTTGAATCAGGATTTGTGAAGAACTTCAAATTACAGTTCTTTGTATCCCATTAGCACATAATACAATGCTTGACACACAAATAAGTATTCAATTTGTAGATATCCTCACATAATATTTTCTGATTCATATGGGCAAGTTTGCCCATAACCCAAACTATAAATTTCTTGGGCAAGAGCTATTCAATAGAGTTTTTACTTCATTCCCTTGAGAAATTGCAACCTTCATGAAAATGCAACTAAAAAAAAAAATCTCTGCTTACTGACCAAGGGAAGCAAGCAGCATGGAAACATGCTATCCACCCAGGACTTCAGAGGGTACCAGCACAGGGAGAATACAAGGAAGTGAGGGAGTGTTTGCAGGTTACAAAAAATACCAAGTTTGTGACAAACTCTCTTGTGGGCTCCAAAGTTATGCTACCCATAAAGGTGGTGGAATCCCAAACCATGACATTAGTATAAATTCTGGTCCAAAATAATGCCAATGTCTGAAATGCCAATGTCTGAAATGCCAATGTCTGAAATGCCAATGGCTACAGCAGAAGTAAATTTTGAAATTGCTCAAATGTTCTGCAGGGCTTACAGGTCTTTTCGCATGGGGCGGGTGCGGGGGGCCATGGCAGGATGTCACTGAAAACAAGTACACAATCAAAAATTACAAACTCAAACAATCCAACAATTTCAATGATCAATTTATTTCACACTTAGTAAATAATCATGGAAATAGAAAAATCGAAGAGATTATAAAATAAATTATGTTAAAATTATTAAGAAGATAAAAGAATGAAATGGAAACATCAGAAAAATAGGGCAAGTATATAAAAAAAGAACTAATAGAATTTGAATTTCAAAAAAATACCAAATATAATTCTCACATAAAAAATACAGTTACCAGCTGGGCGTGGGGAACTCATGCCTGTAATCCTAGCACTCTGGGAAGCCGAGGCGAGAGAATTGCTTGAGCTCAGGAGTTCGAGACCTGCCTGAGCAAAACTAAGACCCTGTCTCTACTAAAAATAGAAAAGGCCAGGCATCGTGACTCACGCCTACAGTCCCAGCTACTGAGGAGGCTGAGGCAGGAGGATCGCTCGAGCACAGGAGTTTGAGGTTGCTGTAAGCTATGATGATGCCACTGTACTCTAGCTGGGGTGACAGAGTGAGACTCTGTCAAAAAAAAAAAGGTCTGATTAAAAAAAACTCTGAATGCAATGCAGAGAGATAAGGAAAAGAAAAATAGCGACTCCTAAGATTGTTTTTAAGCATCAACAGATAACAAAAACACTTCTCAGAAACAGTAACAAGATACCAAAAAACAATGAAAAAATATCTTTAAAATGCTGAGGGACAATAATACTAACCTAGAATTCTAAATCCAACTAAATACCTTTCTAGAATAAGACCAAAATACATTTTTAGACAAATAGTGTAAGTTCACCACTTACACACCCTCACAGAAAGAAATACAAAGGAATATATGGATACAAGAAATAACCATAAGCAATGAAATTTATAAATATGTTGGTAAATCTAAATGAGCAATGACTTGTTAAAAAATAAGACAGATCTACAATATTAAATAGTACTTAATCTGGTCAACTAAATACTGTAATTTATATTTTGATGTTTTGAACTTGTACTTAAGATAACACTAGCATACAGAAAATATCCTAAAAAGAACAGCCAATATATATGAAAGCATCTCCAAAATCTTACACTATTTATAAATTCTTCCCCTCTCCTTCCCCACCACAGATGAGAAGGTCTCAGCCCCAGCCACCAAGGGATGGAGAAGGAACACAGAAAGGAGAAAAATGAGAGGGCAGCGAGCAAGAGAACTCTGTCCTGCCATTCACCCAGGTGCAGCATTTGCTGCCCACTTCTTTTACGTTGAACTTTTATCTGCTTTGACACAATCAGAAATCATGCCATGGACATGCAATGTGAATGATAATTTTACACATTAAGGACCATGTTATGATCAAAAAGCAGCTTACAAAAGACTTGAAGCAAAGAACTCTCATAACCATATGAACTATAAATTGTCTCTCCCATTACATTCTTAACATAAATTTTCAATGTGCTTAATACTTAAAATTTTCAGTCCCCAATGTAAAGAGTAGAAAATTCAGAATTTCAATTTTCAGTTAACATAAGATTCATTTATATTACTAATAGGAAGTGATTAACCATTTTTTAAAAGTCTATTAAATATTACTTACTCTAACAGCAAATTTCTTAGATGCCATGGCTTACTGATTCCACAATAACTTCAGACCTTTTAAGAGAGAGAGAAAAAGAATAAAGTTATAATTAGGTATATCAAAATCTCCTTTTATTTGGATAGTATATAGGAAAACAGTTAGCTGAATTATAAAGTATCAATAGGAATTTGTGAGCTAAATGTTCACTTATAATTGTTCTTAACCAAAATACTGTATTAAATTATTAACTTAAAAACTGCCCACAAAAAGAAAAGCATAGGCCCAGATAGTCTCCCTGGTATATTCTACCAAATGTTTTAAAAATAACTAATATGAACCCTTCACAAACTCTTTAAAAAAATAGGCACATGAGAAAAACTTCGCAAATCATTCTAAGAGAACAGTATTATCTTGATACCAATAACAGAGACATTACAAGAAAACTACACACCACTATCCCTTATGAAGAAAGACACAAAAATCCTCAACAAAATATTAGCAAACCCAACACAGCAACAAAAAAAAGGATTATATTGTATACTATGACCAAGTTGGATTTACTCTAGGAATGGAAGGGTGGTTAACATCTAAAAAGTAATCAAAATAATATGCCATATTAATAGAATAAAAGAAAAAATACACACAGTCATCTCAAATACATAAAAATCAATAAAACCCAAAATGCTTTTCTGATTTAAAATAATCCAACACAATAGGAATAGAAGGGAATCGCTCAACCTGATAAAAGGTGTCTATGAAAAATCCACAAGTAAAATTATACTTAATGGTGAAAGACTGAATGTTTTTTCCCTTAAGATAAGGAAAAGACAAGGATGTCTGCTCTTGCCACTTGTTTTCAACATTGTATGAGAGGTTCTGACCAGAGCAATTAGGCAAGAAAAAAGAAATAAAAAGCATCCTGATTAGGAGGTAAGAGATAACACTATGTCTGTTCACAAAAAGCCATAGTCTTATATATAGAAAACCCTAACAAAATCACCAAAAAACTACTAAAATTAATAAACGAGTTCAGTAAGGTTGTAGGATATAAGATTAGTACTTTAAAATCTACTGTATTTCTATAAAATAGCAATGAATAATCTTAAAATGAAATTAAGAAAATAATTCCATTTACAATACCATGAAAAAGAATACTTAGGAATAAATGTAATAAAAAAGTACAAAATTTGTATACCAAAAGCCATAAAATATAACTAGATCAAATTAAAAACTTAAGTAAATGGAAAGTGATTAACCATTTTTAAAAGGCTATTAAACATTAGAGTTCATGGATTAGAGTACTTAGTACTGTTAAGATAGCAATAGTCCCCAAATTGATCTACAGATTCAACACAATCCCTATCAAAATCCCAGCTGACTTTGTATAGAAATTGACAACTTATCCTAAAATGCAAATGAAAGGTCAAGGGATCTAGAGTAGCCGAAACAATCACAAAAAAAGAACAAAGTTGGAAGATTCAGACTCCCCCATTTTAAAAACTTACTGCAACGCTACAGCTACCCAAACAGTGTGGTACAGGTTTAGTACCCTTTTTCCAAAATGCTTGGGACCAGAAGTGTTTCAGATTGTAGGTTTTTTTGGGTTTTGGAGTATTTGCATACACATAATGAGATATCTTAGGGATGGGACTTAAAGCTAAACACAAAATCCATTCATGTTTTATATTCACTTATATCTATACCTTGAGGTAATTTTATATAGTATTTTTATAATTTTGTGCATGAAATAAAGTTTTGAATGTGGCCCATTACACAAGGTCAGGTGTGGAATTTCCACCTGTGACATCATGTTGGCACTCAAGTTTTGGAGTTCAGAGCATTTTGAATTTAGGATTTTTGCACTGCGGGTGCTCAACCTCCACTAGCATAAAAACAGACATATAGATCAATGGAATAAAACCAAAAGTCCAGAAATAGTTCTTACATTTATGGCCAATCAATTTTCAACAAGGGTACCAAGACAATTTGATGGGGAAATAGTTCTTCCAACAAATGGTGCTGGGACAATTGTATATCTACATGTAAAATAATAAAGTTGGGCCTCTACATCACACTACATACAAAAATTAACTCAAAACAGATCAAAGATCTACATGTAAGTGTTAAAACTATAAAATTCTTAGAAGAAAACATCAACATAAATTTTTGTGACCTTGCATTTGGCAATCGTTTTTTATATATACCAAAGCATATGTGACAAAAGAAAAAATTGAGTAAATTAGATTTCATCAAAATTAAAAACTTTTATATTTCAAACCAAGAAAAGAAAAAGACAAGCCACAGGAGACAATATCTGCACATTATACATCTGATGAGGGACCGTTTTCACCCATTGGTGTTGCTATAAAGGAAAACTTGAGGCTGCATAATTTATAAAGAAAAGAGGTTTATGTGACTCACAGTTGTACAGACTGTACAAGAAGCATCTGCTTGGCTTCTGGTGAGGACCCCAGGCTACTTCCACTCATGGTGGAAGGCAAAGAAAACACATCATGCAAAGATCACATGGTGAGAACAGAAGCAAAACAGAGGGGAGGGACGTGTCAGGCTCTTTTTAACAATCATCTCTCAGAGGAACTGTCAGGAACTAATAGAGTGAGAACTCAATAATTACCTGTAAGGATGGCACCAAGCCGTTCATGAGGGATCCACCCATATGACCCAAACACCTCCCATTAAGCCACATCTTCAACATGGAGGATCAAATTTCAACATGAGGTTTGGAGGGTCAAACATTCAAACTATAGCAGAGACTCATGTCCAAAATATATAAAGAACTCTCACAACTCAATAAAAGGACAAATAACCCAATTTAAAAATGGGTGAAGAACTTGAATAGAAATTCTTTCAAAGATGATATACAAATGGCCAATACACACATGAAAAGATGCTTAACATCATTAGCTATCAAAGAAATGAAATCAAAACCACAATGGGATATTACTTTACACCCATTAGGATAGCGAAAATCAAGATGACAGACAATAACGGGTGGTTGGCAAGGATGTGAATAAACTGGCACTCTCACACATTGTTGGTAGGAATGTAAAATATTGCAGCAACTTTGGACAATAGTTTGGCAGTTCTTCAAAATTTAAACAGAGTTGCCATATGATCCAGCATTTTCATTCCTCAGTATATATCCAATAAAAATAAAATAAAAACATCATGTCCATACAAAAAATTGTACAGGAACGTTCACAGAAGCATTATTAACAATAACCAAAAAGTAGAAACAACCCAAATGTCCATCTATTCCTGAATGGATAAATAAAATGTATATTCATACAACAGAATATGGTTTGACAATAAAAAGTTAAATTTCACTGGGCTCAGCCAGGCAACTACCCTCCTCCACCCCCGCAGAAGCCTGGAGATTTGTCTGGAGAGGGTCAGACAGAAGTTCTCGGGTCTGGAAAGCACCAGACACAGTATAAGGTGGGGGCTACCCTCCTGAAAAAAGAGATTAGAAAACATTTACAAACTGAGACCTTCCCCAGCCGGCATGCCCCTCTACTCTGCCTTACTCTCCAGACAGGAGATTGAAACTTCCCTATTCAAGGAACTGGACTAACCTAAAAGACAGAGTAGATCTTAAAAACACTGACATCAGGGGTTCCCCAAGGAAATAGCCTAGACAGATGGCTCTAAAGTGAAGTCCACAACCACAAGCCCCACGCCCATGTGCAGAGATCCTAGTCATCTTTTTAATGTCCCACTCTCAAATACAAGTAAACAACCAGGAACCACCCACCATCTAAGGCAAGATTCCATCATGAAAGAAAACCAAAAAGACAGAAAAACTACTTAGCTGAAAGAGAGTATGAAGGGAAAAAGAAATTTTTTTTTCTAATAAAAACTATCATTAAGGAGATCAGAGATACCACATCCATAAAGTAAAAAATAACCCAAAAGGGGGAACTTTCAGAAAACAACAAATTAAAACCATGACAGCCAAAATAAAAAATTTAATAGACAAGTTGGAAGTTGAGTAAATCTTTCAGAAACTTCAGCAAAAATAAAAGAGATAAAAAATATGAAAGAATAAATCAAAATTAAAGGACCAGTATAGCAGGCCCAACACAGGAAAATTAGGATGGAAACAGACCCATAATAGGGTGTCCATCACAGTGAAATTTTAGACATTGGGGACAAAAAGAACCTTTAAAAAGGATTTTTTTTGGTGGGGGAGGGAGTAGGGGTAGGAGATAAAGAATAGAAAGAATAGGAGCCAGAATTGACTCCAACTGCTTCAAGCAATTCTGGAAGCTAAAAGGCATTGGAGAAAAATCTTCCAAATTCTGATGAAAATTGTTTCCAACCTCCAACTACATTTAAACTTCAGGGGAGAAAAAAGCATTTTTAGACATGCAAGTTCTTAAAAAGTGTACGTGCCATGCATCCTTTCTCAGGAAGCTACTAAAGATGTGCTTCACCAAAATGAGGAAATTAACCAAGAAAGAGGAAGACGCATGAAACAGGAAGGGTGCGACAGGAGAAAGGCAGAGGAAAGCTGAGGATCTGGGGCAAGGAGACCCTGCATGAGAGCCATGGGCAAAGCGGGGACCGCTGATCCACACTGGGGCAGGTTGCAAGGCTCCAGGAATGGTACGTCCAGAAGGGTCTCCACGTACGCAGATGAACTTTAGACAACTGGTGGAATATGAGATTGAATTAGCACAGGTACACGGAAGGCTAAACAGCTGAATAGTAACAGGGCAGTTATTGATTACACACTAAACAAAAATTGTGCAGAACATAAAAAGTAAATAGTATTTAATACACAGCTCAGCTATGATTAGTATTTATAGTCATAATAGCAAACACTGAATCTTGACCCAAACAATATTATGTTTATAATGATATTAGGAGAATGGGGAATGTGTGTGTGTGTGTGTGTGTGTGTGTGTGTGTGTGTATACACGGAAGGGGCACAGGGATCAAAGGGAGCCAAAGCTCTGTTTAATGGTAAGGAAATGTTTCAGAAACAAAGCTAAAACCCATAAAAATAGCCATCATAATGGTTACAATAAAGCAGATATATAGCAAGTAA